AATACCAGAGAGTGCATCCGACACAGCTTGTGCTGACTGACATAAAAAGATCCGCCCATCTCACCAGCTACTGAAACTCACTTGGCCTTGTTTGGTGGGACGCCTGCTGCAATCATTTCCTCCTGTGTATTTCGTGAATGTTTGCTACATTTGAGTGTACGCGGGCAAGGACGACTAATTATTGTTCATGTACACTTTCAAAATTCTTCCAAATCCAATAAAGGAGAAAACACTTAACGAAAGCAACTTTTCCACAGAATTTTTCACCGACGTCTCAGAGTACCAGGGCGCTATAAAAAATAGGAGTCCCCTTCCCACAATTGACTTTGAGTACGCATAAAGAGACTTTAAGGGTTCAAGTAAATATCAGTAAATTCCGAGACATTACGATAGAATGTTTTTTGTTCAAACTATGGTTTCACAGAAATCTGGGGAGGAAAAATAAGGACCCGCCCTAGCTCCCCTGGCGTGGATGTATTTTCGGTAACACCGCCGAGACGAGTTTGGAGACAGTTCTTCTTCGCCACCCACTTCTTCCAGATGTACCTTGAGTTCAAATCCAAGTAAAAAGGGATCATCAAGCTGATAAGTCTCAGGTGCCCTTCTATTGCGGAAACTTGCTGGACATTGCGAAACCAGCGGTAACTTTCAAACACGCGGTAAGGTCAAAGTCATGCCATCATCCTAAGACCTTTTATTTTGGTGGCAGCCGAAGAGCTGTACAAAGGCGCGATCACAAAAATTATGATGTAAGGGTTTCAAACATTGCCAAGTTGACATAACTGTTTGTTTGTTTTAGTCACTTTCGGGCGGTTTGCAGCGCTCGCTTCGTGCTCCTGCGCCCTGCCAAAGCGACAGGTCGGTTTTTGAGTGGTTTTCGTTGTGATATGTCGTTCTGGCTATGACTTGTACGTTTTGATTACCACAGTGCATTAAAACCTCTCTTTGGCACAACACACTGTAAATCTCTGACTAATGGCTCATCCATCGGGAAGAGCTAGATGCCCTAGAGCACGAATTTCTTACCGGAAGATCCATTGTTCGCACCCGACCTCCGTCTCACACTTCCCTTGTCTGGGCTTGGCGACCTGGCAGTGTCCCAACCCTCTCGCTCCCTGGTGGCATGGCAGTTGGGCGCCGTAAGGGTGCTACAGCTGAACGATTACATATCCATTTGACGGCACTTGAGGGTTGTCGGGAATCCATTGCATTGTTCAGTGCCTTGTTTCAGTGGTAATTTTTTTTCAAACAGTGCCACTGCTGCGCCGAAAATAATTAAAATTTCTCTTGGTGTTGTAGTTCGAGCCGTTCTTATTTTGTTCCCCAGCGCGCAATGCCATCTACAAACTGCGGAAAGGTTACGGCCATGTGTTTATGACGACCGTTCATGGACCCATAACTGTGTTGTATTGTTCGTGGCCTTGCAGCCGTAAAAGCGGATATATATTCGAGAATTTGGGATTTAGAAACTCTTCTCTAGGTGTATACGTTAGTCCCTCAGTTTGGTATAACCGCTGAATCCACAGGCGCTCACTTGATATTGGGCGAAAAATAGATACTTATATAGGACGGTTTGATCCGTCATAAAGTCCGAAGTTAGCTATTTTAATTGTCTCGGGCAAGCACGCTCGTTTTTGTCTTTGTCGATGTCGCTCAGGGGTCACTTACCCGTGGCACTGCTACCGTCATCGTGTCATCTTACGGTGACGCGCAAGACGGACTCGTAAGCAGCAAGTTGGAATCGGGTAAAGCGGGATCTTCGTTGACCGCATCTTCACACCTCAGGTCTTGAATCTGTGCCATATGTTTAAGCAACCTCACATTGTTCCTTCTCTTCATGGGTGCGTTCGGCTGTCGGTTCATCTGTTTTCTCAAGAACAGTAAATAACATTTAATAGATATGGTCCGCCGCTTACATTCACGTTTTAGGCGTGTGAAGACGTATCGAGACTTCAAAAGCTTCATCATAAAATGGCGTCTGACTCTTCCGCCGCCAGTGAACATTTAGGGGAACACTGAGAGTTTTCTAAATTCGTGTCAGAGTCGCTGCCGATTACTTCCGATATGGAGTGCGTGGTTGACTTTGTTCCAGCGTTCGAGGTTGTGGCCACTCTGTGAACTAGCCGCCATCACCCCACCGTCAGGTATATTGGCGAAAGCCATGACCTACATCTAAAGGTGACCCTCGGTACTGAAAATTCGTTCAGTTGTAGCACCTTGGCGATGCCTAGCTGCCATGCCACCCGAAGGAAGTACGAGGGCTGGAATACTACCAGGTTGCCCAAGCCTAGTCAGGGGAAGTCGAGAGGCAAAGGTCGGGTTCGAACCACGAACCTTCCAGTCAGTAAATCCGCGTTCTAACCACTTGAGCTATCTCCCCTCGCCTCTGGAGTCTCATCTCGGACGTTCATTGACTCTGAGGAAGATATGACTGATGAAATCAAGCGCTAGAATCTCGTTCGTCAATCCGAATCGCTGGTGGGGTCAAGAAACAAATGCCTCAGGGTTCGCATTGCAGTACGGTACACTAGGGACTGTTGACACAAAGTTGTCAGTCTGTCTCAGGTTGATGATGAAATTTTAGGCATTACAGCCGTTTTTGGTGTCATGCAATTTATTACGAGGTAGTCGGACGTAGTGGTAACTACCTCAGTCACGGACTATACCTAGCACCAAAAACTGCAGCCGTTCGCTCGATGGACAGCCACTCATCAACGACTGTTAGGATATCAGCGCTCCATACGCATGAGATGGTCGACTGATATCTCGACAACCTCACTGCCGTTTATTTCCGCTATGGCAATTCTCAGCCGCTGGTGAAAGTAGTCGTGGCACGGCATCCGAGATCATCCTTTCAGGCTAAAATTGGCTATGTGAATGTGTTTGACAGTCATGAGAGCAGGATCAAACCTTTCGTCACTGGTACGATCAGATTATTGAGAGCGAAAAGCACGGAAAAGTGAAAGGAAGTTGTTGCTACATATGTTTTCATCCTCGTGGTATGTGGTAAGGGTGGCCAGGATTGCGGGTATTGGATCACTGTTCATCCCGATTCTCAAACATACTAACCCCACAGCCGTCCTCACTCAGTTTTTTTATTGATGGGGACAATCCAAAGGTTGGACGATGTGCGTGAAGCGGTGGTATTTGCTTTGACTTCCTTGGAGACAGTCTTGCATTTTATTGGTGGGGGGAGGGACGTCGTTCGACTTTTCGGCTTTACCCGACAGTACGTTTTTTCACAGGACTACTGCTCCTGCTGATGGTCATACACATTATAAAAATCTGGTTAACTAGGAAGTTGTTAACCGGAAGTTGTATTAGTTCTGACTGTAGTGTGACATGAGGTGAATGCACGAGTCTGCAAAGCTCGGGTCGCGTTTGCTAACTTGAGACACCCATGGCGTCAGAATGGTTTATCCCTGAATGTGAAGGGACGTGTGTATCAAGCTACAGTACGGGCTGTTTTGTTGTATGGCTGTGAGACTGGGCCTATTCGAGCAGCGGACCTGAGACGTCTTCAGGTGTTCGACAATCGTTGTCTGAGAACCATAGCTCGTGTGGGTTGGTGTCAGCGAATCCGTAACGAGGCAGTTAGAAAGCGTGTTTTCGGTTGTGTAACGGGTACTTCCATTGAAGAATGTGTCCAGCACCAGAAGCTGCGTTGGTTGGGACATGTTTTACGCATGCCGAATCATCGTTTACCGAAAAGAGTACTATTTTCTATACCCAATTCGGAGTGGCGTAAACAGAGAGGTGGCCAACCCATGACCTGGCAGAGGAGTATGAAGGAGATGACGAAACGCTTGGGTGCTGTCGGTGCTACTCGCCTTCCAGGATGGGGACCGCGTGATCCTCACTGTGCCTGGTTGGAGACATTACAAGATATGGCTGCCAACCGATGTCAGTGACGTTCCTGTTGTCAGTTTCTGTCCAGATTGCCTGGGTGAATGTCTGGAGGTGTAGGCACCTCGGAATGGTTGTGTTAAGCTAGCACTGAGTCCCTCCCCCATCCACCTTTATTGTTTTCTTTACAATAAGGCTTTCAAATAAGTCATGGTTGTACGGCAGTGAAGCATTGGTGTTGAACACTGATGTCATGCTGTCGTTGATGATGATAACTAGGATCCAAATACAGTTTGCATGCGCGCGCTTCCTGGCTTGTGCACAACCAACTAATCATAATGCTGGCTTGTGCACAACCAACTGATCAGAATGCTGGCTTGTGCATGAATCGCATACCGTTCGAATCCGACCTCTGTATCTCGCCTTGTCTAGGCTTGGATAACCTGACAGTATCTCAGGCCTCTTGCTTCCTTCTGGTGGCATGGCAGTTAGGCACCGAAGGGGTGCTATAGCTGAACGGTTCTTTTACGACTGAGTCAGTCGGAATTTTGACCTAGGAAGTATCCTTGAAAGTAGTAGTAGTGCAGTTGAAGGGGTAGTTGATATCTGAAGATTTAAGGGGGCAAAACAACTTGGCTTAGAAAGAAGACAGACCGGTTACATGATTTGATGGCCGAGAGAACTAACTCCTTCAGCACATCTGTGTAGCCTTCGCAGATCAACTAATGACCATGTATGTAAGTCGTTGACTTAGCTTTCCGCGTAGTCTTGGCACTTTGAGACAATGTTCCTGTTCTTTTAGCTAGTCGTATCTTAACACACTAGCATGGGGTTCCCAAGTTTTGTGAATATAATCCGTGCTCCCCCGAAACTGCTGTAGTATTACCTAGGAATGTCTACGAAGTTGGTTGATCCCAACATCCTTATTGAAGTAGGTTTTACCAGTTTCCCTAGTATTCATCGGTTCTCGCCACACTTGCCATGCCACTATTCGGTTTCCCGTTCAGTCAGTATCAGTCGTGGCAGACTCCTTGAACTATGAGCTTGCTCATGTAACATGTATCAAGACTGACTTCATTGAACGTCATGTTTATTTCCTGACAAGCAATAATTACCCGCCAGATAATTTCCTAATGGCTTCCTTATTTTTCAGAATGTCTGAGGAGACACCTACTGAGGAGATCAACTACGAGGAGCAATATAAGTATGTCATTGACTGTTATGTGTTGCTTTTTTAGTCCATTTTCTGGATTTGCGTCTTGTCGGTGATTTTCGGAGTTATGCAGGTATTATTCACTTCCTTCATACAGCCGGCAAATCCTAATTATTCCGCACATCCGTCTACTTCCCACAATGCTTGCCTACGTTTACAATACCTCATTTATTAACTGTTTACAGGTTGCTATCTGAGGAATGTAAGAAATTGAAGATTGATATATCAAGTTTACAGTTAAGCAACCGAAGTCTCGTCAACCAAAATAGAGATGAGAAAAAGAAGGTTATGGATTGTCGGTTGCAGATTGCAGACTTTGAAAGTCGCCTTAAGTCATTTGAAGCAACGAAGACAGAACTTTCTGACTGTCAGTCTCAGTGCGACCGATTACGTATGACGCTTGAGAGTAATGAGGCCAAGCTGGCCGATGCCGAACGCCGTGCAGACGAAGCCAGTGGCTTGATAAAGGTGATTTCTCCTCTCTCTTTTTTGACCTGCTTTCAGATCAAAGATAGTATCATCCTAAAGCAAAGCAATTTCACCAAAGAAATCGAAGAACGTCTTCGTAATGTAACAGAGGATCGTGACCGTTTGTTGCATAACAACAATACATTAGAAAGTGATTTAAATGCGGCCTTGATTAGGGGTGAAGACGCTGATGAATTGAGAGAAAAACTGAAGAAGTTGGAAGAAGTATTCGATAAATTGGCATCGGAAAGGTATGTTCTTGTCATGACTACGTTCACTTTCCGAAACAGATCAGAAACAGCTACTGAAAGCGGCCTTGCTGCTGCAAATGAATATTTTAAATCGGAACAAGCCAGGTCTGAAGAAAAAATCAACAAGCTAAAAGAAATTCAGACTAAATTGGAGCAGACTATTGAAAAACTGGAACAAGATAAGCAAGAGTTGTTGGAACAGGTGAGCTTAACTTTTGACATGCTGTCTGTGACTTTGTGACCTTCCATGAATACTGCGTACTTTCTATCCAGGTTTCGGGTAATGGGAGACCTTTAGTATTACACGGAATGTTGACTACAATGATCGGCTGAGTTCCAGGTTTCTCAGTTCGCACAACTAAGGTAGTTCAGGTAAAAGTCTAAGCGAACTATCCTTCTCGCATACGTGGCATGTGCATGGGCGAGTCGAAGTCATTACTGACCAAATTGTTTTGACGGTTGACTGCAGTGGTCGCGAGGCCTGTTGCACATTCACATGAGTTTCGACTTTGGTTGGTTGCGTTACTCGGATGGTGTTTTGATATACTCATCTCAATCATATTTGGGGTACAGGTCGTTAATTCTTTCGGTGCCTGAACTTGTTTCCATCCACATGTCCCTTTGAGTTGCTGACAGTAGAGCGATTGCGCCAAAGTCTGTTGCTGTTGATCTCGGTAATACAGGACAGGAAAGCGGCTGTTTGGAGCTGAACAAGCTGGTATAACCTGATTTCAGCAACGTATGCATGATCGTGCTTTGCTATGATTTCGGGTGACTGGGTCCATCGGAAGCTTATTTTGATGCAAGTCCGTCTGAAATGGGTGAACACATTGTTTCACCATTTTTGGTTTCGTATACGTTTCATCAGTTGACTCATGATTTACTGTTGTAAAGAGGGGAATTATGAGATAATGAGACAGCAACTCATCAGGAGCTCGTGGTTAAGCGCCATTGCTTTTCATGATATTGGGTGAATTGATTACATCTAGCCTTCCTGGAAGATTATCGAGCGAAAGGTCGCTATTAGCTTCTCATCTAGTGGCTGTTGCTCGTCTAATGTATACTGTGTTTGGTCTCGTTAACCGGTGATTTATACACTACATGTAGATGGACAAACAGTTTGAAGATTATGAAAAGCTGAGCGATAAATGTGCCACCCTGGAGGCTCGAATCAAGGAAATGGCTCAGTCGGAAAGAAGATACGGTGGAGGCATGGTGAGTTTGAGTCCAACTATCGTTATCATTGACAGAACACCAGGAGAGGATACTGGTGCTTTACCACCGTATAACGATGTCATTTTATTCGATGTCAATTAATTTTCATATTACCGCGATTATTTAAACTGGATTTGTACCATTTGTGAATCACAATTGATAAATTCCATGTAACGACAGTTGAACATTGATGGGATGCTTCGTACTTTAGTTTAGTGACTTGAGCTTCAAAGTTTTGAATAATTTGGCCTTGTTAGCACGCATAATCGCAAACCTGGAGAGAATCATCTGAGTTTGAACCTGCTGTTAACAGGTTTCGTAAATTATCTAGTCATGTTTCCGACAGGATCAAAATTAAAACACCTATGCTATGTGGCTTAGTGATGCACTTTCAGCTCTTTTATGGAGCTCATTTAAGTTTGTAAGGGGTTCTGTTTTTTGCCTCGTAGTTCTCGCATTTAGCTTCCTTAACAAAGGTTTTACCGCCGTTATAGTTTTTATTCCGGGCAGTTTGAACTTTGGTGTTCATTTATGCACCTCCACAGTCCGTTGATATCTCTACACATTCACTTTTGGTTACTTCAGATGGGTGGTCGCCTCATCGGCCCCACCTTACCACCATGGATCGCCGATGAGAAGAAACTAGAAAACGATCTGGAGCGTCTTTCAAAGGCGGATCCTGCTACTCTACGTGCCAAAGTTATGGAATTAGAAAGCCAAGTCAGCGAGTTAAATCAGCTCCTGACCTACCGTGAGGATGTCATTTTACGGATACATGAGGTTCGTTTCGGTCTGTGCTTTTTCCATCACAATTTCAGAAACGTTTCTTTTTTTCAGCCAATGTGATCGTTGGCTTGTTCGCTAACTTGGGCAATTTGATTGCAAACGTTTGATCACCACTCAAGGTGACATCAGTGTGTCGTTTGCAATCAAATTCAATCAAATCATGTTCAGCGAACAAGTCAACCACCATATACGCTATCTGAGCTCCCGAAATTCAGCCAATTTATTTTACAACGGGATGACGATCACTCATTGTTGCTTCCAGTTTTGACCACATGAATTATTCATACTCTTCCCACCAACTCATTCGAATCCCTTTTCTGTCCAACCATATCACTTACTAATAACTGAACTGCACCTGACACTATCTAATCACCGGCTACCATGTAACCAACCTGTCGTCCGTGAGCTGAGCTCGGTGGCACTGCATAGTACCGTATATACTGTCAATTTTTGTCGCGTTTCTTTGTAGCTTATTTGATGTTGTCTACTGCGAATGTATTGCAGGGCTGGATGACCGAATACTCCTTAATTTTTTCCGTCACTGATCAGCTGTCGCTAGTATGGTCCGAGCATTGATCGGCATGCGGTCCACCATTATAATCCATGTAACAAGGAAAACCAGTAATGCTTGTGTAGCCCTGAGTTACTTGTAGCTTGTATACAGACAACTTGTAGACATCGACTCCTTGAGAGTCCCAATAGCCCTCGCACGGACGCTCTCTTAAAGCTTTAATGGGCACAGCTTAATCTGGTAGATGTGTAATAACAGGTTAACCCTACAAAATCGCACTGTCCCCTGCCATAGGAGTGTGAAGTCCAGAGGCTCGATCAGCTTCTTAAAACGTGTTAGATCTGTGTATGTGAGTAATCGCTGTGTAAGTTCAGTCACCATCGCTTCTAAGTTGCCAACAGATGTTATCCCACGTGGCTTATCAACGGGAGGCTGCGTCGTCAAAACCAAGTGAGGTTTCGCCTCGGTTAACCTCGGTGTTAACCTTATCTTTCGACAACTCGATCACTGCCACACATTGTAGGCCAACTGCTGTCGTTTTGGTAAATCTAAAAGTGGTGTTCGACTAAGGCGATCGCGCCGCTTTGTGGGAATGTCCCGTCCAAAGATTTGTCGTAAAGTGTAACACCCGTGGGCGCGTGACAGTTTATGTAGAGTTTTCCGAATTTATCACCAAAAATGGTGTTCATCAGAGCTGTCCCTTGTCATCTTTTCTAAATTCGTGATCAAACTAATTATCGAAGAAACGCTGTCTCTGTTTTCTACCTCTGTTGTGGTGCTTCTTTCCGAAGAAAATCCCAAGGACTTGGAGTATGTGGACGACAGTGCACTACTTAGTTCACATGCTATTCAGGTACAAAATGCTAAATAATTTGGGACGTGTTGATGTGCGCCTTTGAACTCCGGAGCGCAAAGCGCTATTACAGGTTGGATGAGTGCACCCCCAAGGCTGGTCATAAAATCAGATCCACCAAAGATAGTGGACAGATCTACCGATCTGGGTAACTGCTTCACGTCAGGTGGCATCATTGCTGTCGAATTGGATGGTAGGATCACTAAAGCCCGTTTTGATTCCTTTCAACTGAGATACCTGTACAGTCGGCGTGACATTAGACTGTCGGTGAATGGCCTGTTATACAACGCGATAGTTTGTCTGACGGTGCTTCCTGCGCTGAAGACAAAAAACGATTACTGGTCTTCGACCATCCGTGCCTTTGGTTCATTGTGCATGTACTATGAGAAATGTTGGGGCGAGATGGCCCAAGTGGTTAGAGCGCGAATTTGTTAACCGGAAGGTCCGTGATTCGAATCCGACCTCCGCCACTCGACTTCCCCTGTCTAGGCTTGGGCAACCTGGCAGTATCCCAGCCCTCGTGCTTCCTTCGGGTGGCATGGCATCTAGGCACCGCAAGGGTGCTACAGTTGAACGATTTCTTTTTCCCATTTCTGTGGGAAATGTGAATTGCTTCCGGTCACAAATCACCTGCTTGTCCGGTGATGAGTTAATTCGGATTCACCGAATACCTTGACTCGACTATGTGCTCCGTATGCCAGGTCGGCCCACCGTACCCTGTTTTCTGGAATCTTAAGCTGGACAAGCATGACCTGGAGACCGAGCATGGAGGCTGTACTGGTACATGTCTGAAAGTTTGGAGTATCAGAGTCCCGTCCAGTTGATGGTTTGGCGTACTCAACTACGTGGCAGTTAGACGCATTCAGTGGGGGTGTATCCTTTTGTTCGCAGTCATCAGCTCACTGTCCATTTTCGTTTTTTCCATAGCCAATCTCTCGTGCACTGTCTACTGCCTTAAGGTGCGGCTACCCTAACCACGGTTTACGGTTGCCAACCTGAGGTGAACTGAGGCAGGCTCCCATGGTTGTGCTTGCTTCCGGTAAATGTCATTTTCAATCGTAGAAATTCTACTAGCTTGAGTCTGTTTAATCATCACTGATTTTCTATTTACCATCCGTGGTAGTTGAAGGTATATTCCGGAAGACGATGACGTTGCTTTTTGAAGCTGAACACTCACTTTTATTCAGTTATTTTCAAGGTCCACAGTTATCTGGAGCATTCCTCTCCATCTTACAGGAAATCGGGAAGAAATCGTCTAAATTAGAGGCAGCCGAGGTGGAGCGTTCCAGTCTCAATGCTCAAGTTAGCATACTGAAACGAGAGTTGGCCACTGCACGTGAGGACCTTGCCAGACGAGGTCTCGGCCCAGCTGATCTGGAGGCAGAAATTGAACGTTTGCGGGGAAAACGAGATCGAGAATATCAAAGACGTAAACGTATTGAGGGTGAACTGGACGAATTAGAAAAAGAAAACCAGGAATTAAAACAAAAGATAAAGAAGTTGGAGGAGGCTGTGGCTAATTTACCTCCCCCTAGACCAGTAAGTACTTCTGACCTTTTTTAAAATCGATCGCGAACTCGGCCCGTGGTTCAAACCCAATTTCGGCATCTCAAATGCTCCTGTCTAGGTGACAGTATCTCATGCTCCGTGCTTCCTTCTTTTGGCACTGGCAGCTATACACCGATAAGCTGTTGCAGCTGAATATTATTATCACCTATCATTATTACTATTACTGTGTATTCGTTGTCAATTTTTTATACGCGCCAATAGCTCGGTCGCTAATGAAGCGCTACGGCGTTTCTTTTGCAGGCTGTCCCGCAGGGGGATCCTTCTGATAAGAATCGCATAATCGAACTGCAGGGTACTGTTAATCAACTGCGTATGGACAATGAAGCCAAACGCTCTGAATTGTTCGACCTCCGTTCCCGGTTCGACGCGAAATCGGCGCAAGTGGATAAGATCGCCGCAGAGGTAGGTTTTAACCTGTCATCTCTCGTCTCGCTTGTCTATAAAAATCAGCCTGACGGAGCGTTGACTGACGCAGATAGAGTTGTTACTATCTCTTCCGAGTGAATTTTCACAGTTGATGTCATGCCAGCACTCGCTACTAGCACCCTGTTTGTCAACTGCCCTTGCAGTTCAGTGATCTACTGATTGTCAGTCCTACCAGTTTGTTAGCCAGCTTATGTTTTTACTTATCAAGAATTACTCTGTTCCAACCAAGGGCCATATTACGCTGGTCACGGAAGGTACAGAACTCTAGTTTTAGTACCAATTCACGAGACCTTTGGGCCATTGATGATCAGGTGTTAAAAAGAAGAGACGTCACCTCAAACACCCGAGCTCTCTGACTTCCGTGACATAACAGTTAAATCAGCGGTTGAAAGTCGGAGTGCCCAGCCCGGAAAACTTAGTGTAGATGGATCTCAACTCAGATCACATCAGCCAAATTATGCGAAGGTTATGCACAGGTTGGCTCCCCTCCCTGCGTTACTAATTAGATCCGGTCTAACCGTTTTTCATGTCCACTTGCACCGCCATTCCTTATTCTTATACTATCTGCATTTTTATCCTTTCACTTCAGTTGAAGACAAAGGAGAAAACAACAGGTGAACTGACAGCGCAGCTGAACAACGTTCGGTCCCAGCTAGAAATAACGACCAAAGATCTAGAGACAGTTCGTTGTCGCGCCGTCCGTGGAGGTGCAGAAGTGGAACGGTGGCATTCGGACTTGACCAGCCTCCAGGTTACAAACAAGTTTCTATCTTCTCAGCTGAACGAGCTGCGCGCGAAGATGCTTGTGAAGGAGCGGCTCATTGGAGAACTTACTAAGCGCTGCCAAGAAAACCTGCCTCCACAATCCCACTCGGGTATATCAAATACGTTCACTGTTTTCCCTACCCTGTCGTTACTGATATTCCGCGTGTCCGCAGATGCTGAATAATGAATGCCTCCGATAGATTTACTACTTGTCGAAAATGGTCGACCCACTGGTAATACTTATTGTAAGATCCGGACGGTTAAGGATCTCACAGGACGATTGCGACTATTAGATTATACGCAGTTCGTAGCCAGTAGTCAATAGGAGCAGACAGACGTGGGGCAGTAGATGATATATTGAAGACTGACAGGAACTGGTTCTACAGAAAAACGAATTAGTAAGCATCATGAATTAAGAAAACGTACAATCAACAATGACGCAATCTGTAGGAGCGGGAAGCAGTCACTGTTACAGCACGGATTTCTGTAGGGGCAACAAGAAGTAAGTACCAAACGATGTGCAAACATACATATCGGGGCAGTCTGACAGTGTGAGTTGGCCGTAACGGCGCAGGAGTCAGTACGCTCGGGATGTGAAGGACTGTCTTTCGGTCGGCGTCGACGCAGCCACTCGTGTCGCGTGACAGGTCAGATTGCGCGGTTTCGTCCGTTTAAAACAAAACTCAGCAAGGGCTATCTGCCAGGTGCGATACATGGTGTAGTCGGTGACGCGCTTTTCGGTCGGAGTGGACGCTCGTGAATAGGTGCAATCCAGACGAACTTGCAAGCAATGACGGACGGGCAAATTAAGTATTGACATCAGTTACTGAGGCATAAGCAGACCCTAAGCCGGGACGAAACAGGGGGAAAACGAGCAAAGAAACGAAACGGTGTCATAATAAACAGATGCGAGTCACGTCACTCATGAGTAGTCAGAAAACAAGGAAAGTTACCGCTGGTCACCGTTGATTCGCAGGCGGAATCAACACTTATGTTTTCAGATTCTTTGGTCTTCCATGAGTTTATGCTTCGCATCGTTGGTTGTGCTTGCAAACCTGGACCACCTCATCAACGTTCGTCCTGGAGTTATCGTACATCTTAGAAAGTGTTCGCTAGCTTTGGGTCCTGCGGTCGCAACCAAACTTATTACATCTAACGACATGTTTTTAATTGTTTCTCCTTGATGCTGACTTGTAAATTGTTATAAAGGAGTCCTTGTTTTCTATCAAAAGTTGATAACATGTGTAACGATTCATGTTTTTGCAGAGTTGCCTTTGGTTAACGGTGACGTTGATGACAATGTGTGCTCACGTTGTGGTGATAAGTTGGATGAGCTTGACGTGGCCGACACAAAAACCAGTGACACTGTGACAAAAGTAAGTATCGCTTGCCCCGTGCTGTGACCTCTAGATGAGGGACTTTTTCGATTCACTTGATTCCCGTTGTCGTTTATTCTCATCATTACCTTCGTTCCTTCAAACAGCTTGAACTGAAACTGGCTGACCGCGAACAACACTTTAGTAAGCTACTGGACGAAGCAACGGAAGCACGCCAGACGCTCGAAAAAGACAAACTTCAGGTAAAAACCTTTTGCATTTTTCATTTACCACTTTGTACGGGTGTTGGAGTTCGGCTTAGTTATCTGTTTTTATTTGCCTGATCAATTTTTCTTCCTTATCCAAACACTGGCTTGTATACTTCCACGTAGTGATCTCCATTGTCTTTGGTAGGTTTTGTTGCTGTTTACTTTTCGCTGGATTCATTTTTTCTCCGGTAAAATCGATGCGAGTAATATCTGACTTTCTGGATTTCTGGTTGAAAGAAAGTGGCTTAATGTTGGTTCGTTAAAAACATGTGAAACTGAACCTCTTGTACTCAGTTATCTCGGTAGTCCAGTTTTATTTCTCCGGTTGTATGGGATAAGTGATCTAGCTGTTTACATCGTATACATTTTTGCATTATCCTCCACCCTGGCTTATTTGAAAGTTCCTTCTGAAATCTCATTATTCTCTTCATCACAAAAGTGTCTTTGACGTCTAAACAACCCAAGACGATGGCCTATTTGGAATCACATTAGCTTTTTATTCCTAATTATTGCAAAAGAGTATGAGTTATAAACGGGGTTTTAAATTTCCACCAGACTATCAATCGATTTTTTAGCACGCTTGAAGTTGAGTCGCAGAGTTGTTTATCTCATGCCTGTAATATCACACTTGGGTCAAAAGGGTTAGTCTCCATCCAGTCTGGGAAATAGCGAGCATTCATCGTTTGGTCTATCGCCCTGCAACCATTCTGGATCGATCCATTGGGCCAGCCAGTTCTGTGCAAGATGGAGGTTCACATCGGCATTTCAACCAGCTGTATGCTGATACGTCACTATCTGTTTGTTTCCCACTGGAGTTTAGTGTTTGCAAAGCTATCAGATTGAGCTTAAGAAGGAGGTGGAATCTTTTTCTGTACTTTGATTCGCAGTCGTCTCCAGCGGATGTTCTTAATCAGTTACGTAAACGGGGCTTCCAAGTGTCAGTAGTATTTCCCAATAGGGTGGAATTCTCAATCCCTTGGAACTCTGGAGACTGGAATTGTTCAGATTCTCAAGAGTAATGCCTAAAAACCCGTTCATCTTGATTTTATAATGACTGGTTTCTGCTGTTATATAGCATTTGCCTGGTGTAGGTAATCTATTTAGCCTTATTGGGACTGGTGTGAATGTTCTGTGTTTTTGGAGTAAGGTGGTCTAGAGTGCGAAGCATGTAAATCAACGTAACAATTTACACGATTATCGGCTCTTTTTCCCATGGTGAGAACCTGAATGTTTAAGTAGTACTTCCATTTGTCCCTACAATAAAACCACAACATCGAAATGGATTTTGAGTTTGAATTGCGTCTCTGTTAGGAGAGGTAATTTACAGATTTTTAGCTGATGACATTCCGCGGAATAAAGTGGCTTACGACTGCGCGTATCATGTTAAGCTTCCCACTCATTAAGGCAGCTTTCAGCAAATTCCGTATCGACACTGCTAGGAGAATGGCAACATTTCCATGATCGCATCGTCAACAGTTCAAAATCACCACAGTCTCCTGGATGATCGGAGTTCTTTCCCACGGGTACCTCACTCAACCACCACCTAAATGGGCTCCAGTTTCCCCAACTTATAACCTGTGTTCAAAATCACCTTACGTTTAGTCAAACTGATTTGACCTTTTTCTACCATGTTGGTTATTTACTTCTTGCAGCTTGAAAACAAGCTCAGTTCCGTTTACCAACGTGCCACACAGTTGTCCGAAGATGTTGCTCGCGAACAACAGGCAGTTGAAGCCTCGAATTCAAAGGTAAGGATGGGAGGAATGCCAGTGTTAATTTCCCGGTGTAAACCGGCTGCAGCAACGCGCTTACGTTTCGCTGTTTTGTAGATCCAAAAATTGACTTCACAGCTCAATGAACTGGAAAGTACACTATCTTCAACGCGTACTCAGCTGCTTGAGGCTAAATCCGAACAACGGAAGGCTGAGATCGAAGCTGTCCCTCCTACTGTAACTCCTCCTGCCAAACGTACCAGGCGGAGTGGAGCAAACAAGACAAGTACTGCAAATCATCAGGTGAGTAGAGTTTACTTCACTTCGCTGCTTCCTCGACTGATTTGTCTGCTCCCGTGAGTTCCTGTTGGTTCATTGGTCTGGTCCCTCCTCGCCCTTCATGCTGTGGCTATTTAGCCCCTTAAGTGATTCGTGTACCGTTCGGTTTTGTGTAAATCAAGGGGGGGGGGCAGATCTCTTTCCATATTCCGAGTAGTCACTCGGTATAAAATGAGATGACTCGGGTTTTCATGTTTAATTCACTCATTTGTCCAGATTACCAAGGGTCAGTGGTTCACGAAAAAACTAACCATAGTGGCCGATATTCTGCCTAACCAGGTGATTTTTACGGAGTACTATATTCTACCTTTTCGCTCCTCCGTTTTGATGAACTAATCAGCCTGTGTCAGCACCAAAGACATGAGCAGTTACTTTTGAACTCAACATACAGGAACTTATTTGGTCATAGTTTTGCGCTGCGTTCACTGAACAGCACAGGCTTTCATTCTTCTTTTGGGTTTTTTATTTTCAGGAATGTAATTCTTGCTTGGAACTGCGCAAACAGGTTCAAGATTTGGAAGCCAGTCTCAACGAGGGTAATCTCAGGGAAACAGCCTTGACAAGTCAGGTAAGTGGGGAATTACCGAAAGCGTGTCACAGCTGGACATTATTATAATGATTACCAGGTTGGTCTCTAGATCTGTTTTTCTGTACTCGATGATAAGTTTGCATTATTTATGGACTTCGTCGTTTGGTACTTCTGGACAATGCGCTTTGACCGTTAAAATTTGTCAGGAATGAACCGTGTGTCGATGACTGTTTTAAAAAGGCCACTTTCCAGATAACCTTTCGCCTAGTGACAACCTTGAAGTTTGTCGTCAGGTGTTCTAATGATCCTAGTAGTTGCATAGGCTGATTCCAGTTTACCCTTCATGACGTGTCATTATCTGGTTTGATTATTCGATGAAAGAACAGCGAAGGGGGGGCATAGAATACAATACTGGTGCAAGCATTTCATTCTCAGGGTAGAAACTGAAAGTACAAATGTCACGTATTTGGACGTCAGCGGAGGCCTTTTAAGAGCAAACGGCACTGAGCTCGCAATAACTAGGTGATTAAGGCGTGAGCTTACTGTCTCGAGGGTTGTCAGCATCCCGATTGCTCATTGACAGACTTAGGCAGCGTGGCAGTATCTCATCCCTCGTGCTTTTGTATGGCTGCTAGACACCAGAAGTGCTACAGCTGAACTACGTGCTTGTGTTTTCCTTGTAGGCCTCGTCCCAGAAAGCTTGTCGCCCGATAACGTATGCACTTTGCTTTCGACACTGAAAAATGAATCACTGCGATAGACGATCTGTTGGCATCCAGAGCTGTCGCTACATCACAGTGCCTACCATTTTCCTGATAACAGCCCGTATCAGTGACACCCTTTGAAATCTTTGATCAAGCACTTAAGTTGATAGGTTCATAGGTTACCATTTCCATACTAGCCGTGCGATGTTTCACATGTCTAACCATTTTGTGCTGAAACGTGTTTTTTGCATGCCTAATTCAGCAGTCAACCATTGGTCACGAAAAGCATTGTTGTTACTCCCCGCTTTCCAGCATGCAGTTCACTTGGTCCTCTATATTTAGCTTGGGCCGCTTCAACGTAAAGTGGGTAATAAGTTTCGTTCAACTTGTCTTTTTCCATATTATCTGACTGCCTGTTCAGAGCTGTAAGCCTTCCTGTATGCTCGCCATAGGCTAAACGTAGGTTAATGTTTTCACAACACGGAAATCAATACTGAAATAAAAATCTAGTTGCTCTTGTTGTATGACAATGGAGCACCTGCTTTCAGCCAAACCAGACATCAGAGCTTTGGCTTTTAAGCTAGTCTAGCATGAAAAACGGGGACCGATGACGCGCTCGAAAACGGAGGTCTCTTGCCAAGAGTTGTAAGTTGGTCTAACTGCATATGTTTCAGGTGGTAAGCTTACGTCTTAGAGTGTTCGGTTTGTGGCAACGTAGCTTACACAACAGCCAAAATCGCCTGTCAAGTAACTACAGTTGCTTAAATTCAGTGAATAATAGTCGGTGCGACAGACACCTTGGTTCCCGGAAAGTGAATTGCATGGGCACTGAAGTCCACGAACGCCAAGAATATGTTCCGGCTTCATCGGCAGTTACCTTGTTGCTCTTGGCTGCTTCCTCTATATAATATACCACATCAGTGGTCACGAATTTATGAAGTATTTCAATTCCGATCCCCATACTATTCACTTATAATTCATTCCAATTGTCGGCCGGTATTAACTGCAGTAAGACCACTTACGCTTCCTTTCTGTTTCCAGATTAATGACCTGAGGGAAGAAATAGCAAGCGCGGACTGCAGAACAGCTGAACTACGTTCGCAGTTGACCAGTATACATCAGGAAATGGCCAGTAAAGAGTGAGCATTTTGGATCCTGGAGGAACTGTCTCAACCCCGTGATTTTATGAACTACGTCTTTGCTGATTACGCCAACGAGACGTCCCCCTTTGGTTCCTCGTTCTCCACTCTGTACATTCGCTTTCCCGAAGTATGCTTGCACCGTCGCGTCCTTTTCCAATGCATTTCGGTTACACGTAGTTTCTGATGAGCCGCTCCTCAATAAACGATTTCACTGATGTCATTTCTTCCTTATTATGGGGTGTCTGCCCTAGGAACATGTGCGTGGTAACTCGTACTCATGAGGTGAATTCTCTCTTCCTTTGGGGTGTTATGGCACGTGGGTGAAAAACTCGGTGCGACATTTAACCTGTAGGCTACCATTCGTTACACTAACTTCTCGGCGCTCACGAGAGAGTTCCTGTCTCAAGACGCTTTACATAGCAAAGTTTCAAGTGCATGTATGATTAACTTAGAATCATCATATCGACAAAACGATCGGCTTACATCCGAGCTCCAGCTCAATGTTCGTTTTCCTGTGTGTGCTGCAAGCTGTATGTGCCAAGTCTGAAGCTCCTGAATTATGGACACGCATAATCTAGCATTGGTTACTAAAATCAGTTGGCACACGGGCCACCATCAAAGGCGTAGGCCACATTCCTCGTCCTTAATTATCCTGTTTCAACGATACCCAAGTTCAGTCGCTGAAAAGGCTTTGCACAGCCATTAAGCCTAGACATCTAGCCACAGCCAAGTTGAAATATCCGTTGGGCGTATGTTTTAGCTGCCTAGACGCACGCATAGGATAACGCATGAGATTTGAAAATACACTTATGGTGTGACAAGGTGGCAACATAAATTATGCAATCATTTAACTGCTCAGCTTGCAAGGATCCCCAACCTGCCTACGTATCAGTCTCTGTGGATTTCTCAGGAATAGTGAAGTTAGGTGATATCCACTCCGGTGAAATAGGAGCTGACATATTTGTCGTGATACAATTGACAGTGTTTCCCAGGTAGTGAACCTCGTTTTCATGTTGCAGTGATCCGTCTCAGACCCATTGATTTCTTTGCTAAAAACCCACTCCAACCTTCAGTAACTGCGAACTGACTCCCTATTTTCATGTTTTTTAAGTGTGAACGAGTACAGGGGAGCTTTCTACACCCTCACTATGGAACTACGGCTTCGTGATACTGCTCTCACATCAGTTACCTAACACGGGACCAACAAAAGTTGAAAGTAAGTGGAGCACCCCATTAAAGCTCAGAAATCATATGGGTCGCACGTATTCTTACGGCCAAATCCTGCTGGAGATACCTACCATCAGCAGTCCTTTTACGGAGGAGTTTCCCGACTAAGAGTAAATCATCCAAAGCGGGAGATCCACATAACCTGTCCAAGCGAAAAAATTTGTGCGCATCGGACTAAAAATGTGAGAACGGTGGCACCATAAAGGTATTCACTAACCCAGAAAGACGAAACCGGGAGAAGTGCTGGCGTTGCTTACAGCGCGGACACAACCACTCAGTGGTTAACGTAAATCAGCGCCTTGTAACAATAGACCGGTCACCCGTTGAACCACAATCTCATGGTGTGTCTAACTGCCTCGTTAACGCACATCCTCGCGCTAGTTTACCGAAGGAATCCAACCACGAATTTAGGCTTTTTGCTTTCCTTCTTCAGATTGCATTGCGATCTATCAGATGGCTGGCCAGTACGCGTGGTTTGTCGCTCCTTTCCCGTTATGGGACTATGCCACTGACAATCCAGCATGAACTCAGCACAATTCTTGCTTCAAAGTAGGTGACTGCGTGAATTCTTCGGTTGTTTTTGTAGTAAATGCACTGTACCCTCTGGAACCAAGTTATGAGTAGGATGATATTGCCATGGGTCGCGGGAATCTACATCTGTTTATTCTTCAGCCTTTTAGTTTTCTGCCTCTAATCCGTGCAACTAAGTTCCAGCTATGCGTCATTAAATGTGTATGGACCACTTAATTATTTGATTAGTTGCCTCAATGCAGATAGCACGAATGGGCATGATACGCTGAATTAGTTGGAACCTTTGAACTGTTCCGTCACAATGGAAAAAAATGACAATCTCACCTACACAATGTCAAGTCATTTCCGTATAGCGGGATATTCGCCACAAAAATGCCTAGGTCGGAATCACTTCCAAGTCTTTCATCGGAAGTTCTAAGGTGCTCTGGAAAGGAAGGATTTACAGTGACCTGAATTCGGTAGACCATCGGTAGACTATCCTCGCTTTGCCATAACTGGTCTTACTCGACCACCCATAAATTCATCCAGTACCAGCTAGATTCTTTTCGATCACCCTTAAAATTTCTTACTTTGTGTTTAGCACACTTGGTCTTTCTGATCTGAGGCTGCTTGGTTGCAAGAACTAACTGACTGCAACCTATACGAATCGAAGTGGTGCGTAAGCGGGAATCCGGTAACGAATCAGTTGCAAACAAAATATATCAGATTAAAACAATTTGAACATGCATTACCCGTATCATCAACCAAGGAAGGAGTGTAATCCGTTACAAACCACTGTTGGTGGAAGGTTTGCAGGGGAGTAGGCCATGACATGACATGAGATGGAAGCGGCTACTGTCAGGCTGGATGTTATGAGACCTTCGCCTTTTGGAGCGAACGTGATCCTTCTCACATTACTAAAACACCTGCAGAGATGGCACGTAACCGATCTCCGCGGTGCGAGTGCTGTTGCAGTCTGGATGTTCAGATAAATTTGCCTCATGTTTGTTGAGGTTCGCGAAGGATGCCGGGTCAATCCAACTGATAGCACCTTACTCCGACCAGATGTGTACGGACTACTTAATTATTTTATTTGTTGCCTAAACACAAGTAGCACGAATGAGCATGATACATGAGTGGTTGCCGCCAGGCAATGGACGTCTCTGGGGCTTCAGTGCGCTCCGCTGTAGGGCAAGGTGAGGTATCTGTTGGTCGAGTTAGGTACCAGCTGACGGTGGCAAATTCTGTATTGTGTTGGTTGCATTTCCGTCCTAAGGCTAACCATTTTCAATCCGGCACTCTAATCTGCAGTGCTTACATGTAACCGATACGTGCTATTTCGTGAAATCCATGATTCAATTGTTATAGGCTGAACCCATCAGTTCCCAAACGTTAGTTCCCGTGAACTCATTTGAGGAGTGTGAAATAGGTGCATTGACTACCCGATCCTTTCGGT